AGGATTTGTATACAATTTACTCTCTTAATATTCTATTCTACGCTTTAAGATGCCTTCCAGAATTTGGGATTATTAATTTTGTTTACTAATCCTCTAAGATGAAACAAGAAAATCATTTTTTAATGAGATTTTTTACATTAATTTTATACTTTAGAGAATAGATTTTCTTGGTGAATATTTATATGAAATTTTGTGAAAATTTTTTAAATAATTTAGCTTAAATTTTGCCATAAAATAATACATTTGTAAATCTAAAACTATGACTAAATAATTGCATAACTTATGACTAAACTACTGTTGCATAAATGAGTTTATTTATTATATCTAAAATAATATAAAGCATGAGAATTTAGTGAATTATCGCATACGAATTTATGTAATATATTAATATATAAATCTATAATTATGCAATTTGTAGAAAAATATAACAATCTAATTTAACATATTTTAAATTGGATCAAAGTAGGACACTTGTAGATTGCATAAAATGATAAATACAATTAGAAAAATGGAATGACTTCATAGAATATGAGATATTTTAGTTATATTATGACCTAAATTATTTCATTTTAAATAATTTATTCGTGTAAGAATTAATGTAAGAAACAATAGTAATAAATATTTTTCATATTTTAGAGTATAGATAAAAATTAAAAATAAAATAATTTTTAATTAAATATCATTTTTATATAATTATTTTAATATTAATTATATGGATAAATATTAAAATATTTATAGAAACTCGATGCTACTATATCAGATAGGCCTAATTATCCATTCATTCAGATGCTTCATATACAATGGAATGATTGATTCCTCTTCATTTATATATATTCTTATTCTCTCATTATCATATTTTAACAAATTAAAACGGCTCGAAAATAACCAAGAACTGGTTATTTTTTTTTTCTTTTTTCATATCAGCTGCAGCTGTCTACATTTTAAATTTATATCGAAGTCATCAGTTAACTTCTATCCCTGTCCATTGTTTGGCTTTTAGGGCCCACTCCCTGTAAGTTATTCCTTTGTCCTTAGCTTAAACTTCATAAGGGGGATCTTCCACATCTACCCAAAATTAGATGGTGTGGTCAAAAATAAACTTAATTATATTCATCGCTAATCGCTCATTGGTTACTGTATCCAACTAAATTACTGTTATTTTCATTTCATGTGATTAGGATGTATCGAAATCTTATCTTTCTATAAAGATCTTCAAAAATAAACCGTAAAAATCTTGTATTATAATTAACGATATTATAATTTTAATAATTTTTATTTAAAAAAAACAACGTAACTATTTAAGTATAAAATACATAATTTAAAATATATCAGTATTAAGAAAGTTTTGTTAAAATTATAGTTTGAAACTTCATTTTTGTTTTTTTATAAAAAAAATATATGAATAAATAATGTCTTATATAAATTTTCTATGGTGTTATTAAACTAAATGTGGTGTTTATGCATGAAATTTATAAAGAAAAATAACTTTTTAAATGTAATTTAAGAAAAAAACGTGTTATGGATGCTTCAAAATATTAATTATAAATTCTAGTTTAGAATAAAAACCGAATTCTTTTAATAAATAAAAAATTCATTTGGTCCCAGATCCGTATCCTTCATTACTTAAAGTCGTGGGTTCGGTTCCCACCCAACTTTTCAGAGGCGTTGTTAAAATAAGAAAAGGGGAACATTACGAACAGAAATGGTGGCATAATTACACGGACGATAATGCAAATTTTTAATAAAATTTAATGAAAGATTTATAATTTCTACTGATCATAGGGTGGTTGAAAGTCAGCTAACTAATGTTTTGTTTCGTGTGTTGTAGATACGCTTATAAATATGAATTGTAAACAGTGTCTAGAACAATGCATTTTTCGTTTACGGAGTCGATGAAAACGTGGTACAATATGTAATTAAGTATTTAAATGTTTGAATAACACAATAATTTAGTATTTATAATGGTTAACTGACTTTTGGCACACCCTGTTTTTTTTAGCTGCTTACAAACTTGCAATTTATTATTATATGTAGGCCTACTTAGTAAATGCAATATGCAAATAGTAACTTCATAAAAAAATATATATTTATTTATTTATTTTAATTTGAAATTATCAAAAGAATCGATCAATCATTTTATTTCAAATTAAGAATCTATGGACATTAAAAGACCTTTCATAAATCCAATATTGACTTAACATTATCGACTTTTAAAATCATTTTAATGATGTTTCAGCATAAAAATTCCACGTATATTTATTTGAAAAGTTAGAATATAAAATTAAATAATTGAATTTCCATTGAAATTAAGAAGATAATTAAGAATGAAGAGATTTTTGAGATTGAATGTGATTTAATTATGTTTAAATGTTCTCAATTAAGCATTTAAAAGAATAAATAAACAATTGTACATCAAAAGTAAAACTATAATTAAGAAAATGTTCTTAAAGTATCCTTATTTTAGATCATATCTACAATTGAAGGGCATGTGTTTAGCTCTGAACAAAACACACCTTTCTCTACTAGAATATCGAAAATGCACTGTGATTTACACGTTTGGAGCGTTATAAATATATTATTTTAATAAAAAAAATAAAAATTATGATACAAATTCACGTCAAAAGTCAAATGATAACTGAAACGTATCTTAATTTATATCCAAGACGTGTCATAAGTTCCGAATGTAATACTCTTTTTTCCTATTAAATTGCCTTGTAATTTAAATATATCGATTGTTAACAATTTTAGTATTTTAATAATTTAATAATAAGAAGTTTAAAAAAAAAACTAATTAATTAAATTATAAAAGTTAAAACTTATTTTAAAAAATAGTGTTAAAAACATTGCGCTTTTATACAGGTCATATTTAACTTATCAATTAAAATTGCATGTCATGAGAGAGAGATCAAATTGCAAATTATTTATTTAGCAATTAGTTTATGAATAAAATATAAACATGCAACATTTTATTGATTTATATAAATCTACTTATGATATAGAGGATCCATTTACATACTTAAAAAACTAACTGTTAATAATTTACATGGCTCATACATTATAATAAAATATCATTAATATATTATTTATATAACAGAAATGATATTTATTAAAATCATTAAAATATTTTTTAAACATTATAGAATTAAATAATAATTAAATAAAAAAAATGAAGTCATTTATATTCATATAAAACCTTTATTTTTAATTTAAATTTAAATATAATCCTTAAAAGTTAATTACATTATAATTAGATCATAAATTATTATAATTCTGATTAAAAAAAAATACAAATGTATATAATTTCTTTTAATAATTACACTTGTAAATTAATATTATAACTATGTATAATGTTATTAATAAGATATTTAAAGATTTATACGAGTTTAAATTTAGTAAATGAGCTTTGTATAGAATTTAATTATCGTTCAATATTCAAACTGTATAATAATTACTTAAAAAGAGCTATTAAATAAAGAAAAAATCGTGATAGTAATTCGTGTATTTGAAGGGGGTGAGCATTAGTAAGAGAAAGTGAATTATTGTATAGTAGATAGTGTAGTATCTATTGAAGAGAGAGTAACGTCTCTTGTTGTTGACGAATTGAGAAAGGATGCGATATTTCCGGTTACAGGGAGTCATAAATTGTATAGAATCGCCTGATATGTTCTTTTAACATTTTTTCCAAATACCTCAAAGAAGTCATTGCACTTATTGGAAAAGTCATTTAATACGATTCTCTTCTTACAAATGCACTCAAAAAACAAAAATATGTAAAAAAAAATCAATTAAATTTATATAAAATTTCGATTTATATAATCTAAATTCTGTTGTTGGATATTCCTTTAAATTTACAACATTTTTAATTAGTTTCTTCTCAATGACTTCATAACTCAGCTAAATGGAATGACTATGAACTTCCCATTTATATATATTCTTATTCTCTCATTATCATATTTTAACAAATTAAAACGGCTCGAAAATAACCAAGAACTGGTTATTTTTTTTTTCTTTTTTCATATCAGCTGCAGCTGTCTACATTTTAAATTTATATCGAAGTCATCAGTTAACTTCTATCCCTGTCCATTGTTTGGCTTTTAGGGCCCACTCCCTGTAAGTTATTCCTTTGTCCTTAGCTTAAACTTCATAAGGGGGATCTTCCACATCTACCCAAAATTAGATGGTGTGGTCAAAAATAAACTTAATTATATTCATCGCTAATCGCTCATTGGTTACTGTATCCAACTAAATTACTGTTATTTTCATTTCATGTGATTAGGATGTATCGAAATCTTATCTTTCTATAAAGATCTTCAAAAATAAACCGTAAAAATCTTGTATTATAATTAACGATATTATAATTTTAATAATTTTTATTTAAAAAAAACAACGTAACTATTTAAGTATAAAATACATAATTTAAAATATATCAGTATTAAGAAAGTTTTGTTAAAATTATAGTTTGAAACTTCATTTTTGTTTTTTTATAAAAAAAATATATGAATAAATAATGTCTTATATAAATTTTCTATGGTGTTATTAAACTAAATGTGGTGTTTATGCATGAAATTTATAAAGAAAAATAACTTTTTAAATGTAATTTAAGAAAAAAACGTGTTATGGATGCTTCAAAATATTAATTATAAATTCTAGTTTAGAATAAAAACCGAATTCTTTTAATAAATAAAAAATTCATTTGGTCCCAGATCCGTATCCTTCATTACTTAAAGTCGTGGGTTCGGTTCCCACCCAACTTTTCAGAGGCGTTGTTAAAATAAGAAAAGGGGAACATTACGAACAGAAATGGTGGCATAATTACACGGACGATAATGCAAATTTTTAATAAAATTTAATGAAAGATTTATAATTTCTACTGATCATAGGGTGGTTGAAAGTCAGCTAACNTAAAGATGAATTCGTTGTATTCACCGTTCTAAATAAAAAATAAAAATAAACTTAATTTTTATTTTATTTTATTTATTTTTTCTATTTTTTTTTTACAGTGTGGATAGGGTCATTGTCCCTCTCCAGCAGCTATTTTATAGCTCCTATAGTAGTAGCATTCTGTCGTAAGAAGAGCACAAGGCTGACTGCTGTTTTTGGAGGTTTGGCATCTGCACTCGGTTGTCTGTTCAATTCATTTGCCAAAGAACTTCATCAGGTGATATTCAGTTATGGGATCGTCATGGCTGTGGGTTTAGGAGTGGCTCGTGAAACATCGAATCTTATGATTGGCCAATACTTTAAAAGGAAGAGGGAGCGTGTTGAATTAGTCGTCCAGTGTGGTACAGGTGTAGGCGTGGCTGTTTTCTCAGTATTTTTTCGTGAAATTATAAGGTAAGTTCTACTAGACAATTTACAGCTTATATTAATAGTTCGTTCACACCCTACTGATAAAGTTGTAATCTGTAAAAAGATTGTATAATGACCATACTGTGTATCGGACTATAACCGATTTTTTTTATTCACTATTTATAGATTCGATAAACTTAAAATATGTAGTAATTTGTACATAATTTATAAGTTTATACTTCAAAAAATATATTTCGTTTTTGTACATTAATTAATCATTAAATTACACGATGAATAACAGACGTGTAATGATCATTCTGGACTATAAATACGCTTTTTACTATTTAAAAATTTAATAAATTTTAAAAATATTTATATGTGTTTATATACATGTATACATTCATATACACGTGTAATGTCTGTATGTATGTATATATACACGTATAGTGTATGTATAAACTTAAAAAATATATAAAAACGTTTTTAAATGTTTATAAATTAGGTTATTTACAAAAATTCATGTCAATAATATACAACACTGCACTCATTTATAACTACGAATCCATACAATTTATGTATTAGATATATATACCTGTAGTTTGATTTTTTGAGGAGGGTTCATTTATTAAATAAAGAAGCGCGAATATTATAAGTTGGAAGGCATATTTGTTGATAATTAATCTTTCTATCAACAGAAATTCAAGTGATAAGAGCATAGAAAGTACATTGATAAGATCAGGGTGATGCGTGACTGTTTATTTATTTATTCTCTAGACACACAAGTGCTTATCACAAGTAAACCTCCTACGTTACAGGTTGTATTTGCACGAAGAAAAATCTATGCAAAAATGAATCGTGGAAAGACTATGCACTGGTCAGTAGTGATAAATTGCAACTAGTTGTAATTATGCTAAAGCCGGCGGCCCTTCTTTACTTATTCCTCTGTATTGTTTATTAACATATTGATATTCTTAGAACGTTCTGGTTACTCGACCTTTAGGGTATAATAATATTCGTTATATTTCTTAGAACACTTTGATTTATGTCGAATTTTTTTTTTTTTAGTACACTGAAAGTTATTTGTCGTCGACTTTCATTTTGTATGATTCACAAGAATAATTTGGATCAGTGGGAATAATTAAGTAAAGAGAATAGAAATACATAAATTATATTTGAAAGACTGTTTGTTTGTTTCTTTTTTCCTAAAAGTTTTATTGTAATATATTTAAAAAAATGAGATAAATTATTGTTTTTATTAGTGAAAGAAGTGTATACTTTTACAACGTTTTCATCGATGAATTTCTAACATATTTATTTATTATTGTATAAAAATATTAAATATTTTTAAAAATTTAAATATAAATAAACATAATAAAACGTATTTCCTTTATTTAAACGAATGAAAAAAAAATTACGAATTTAAATTACTTTAATTTAAGAACGTAATTTAATTCTAAAGATCAACTTTTATTCTATAATTTTTATGTAATCTTTATCTTTACCAATTTATCTTAACCTATAAATCGTAAAGTTGTCTCATGACCTTACAAAATTAATTATTTTTATCTACTTTCAATCACTTAATTTTTATCTTCATCAATTGCATCCGTCTCTTGGTCTTCCCATAATGAAGAAAGGAGTAAAAGAGAATATCTTTTCCAGCATCTTTATAAAATCGTTTTTAAATATAATTTATAAAATAAAATTAATTATATTATTATAAAATTTAATATAAAATCATAAAATAATTATTCATAATATAGTTAAGTAAATAGATTTATAAGATATTTATGTATATAACACTTTGGATACTATTATTATTTATTTTTAATTTTTTTTCCTATAAAAACTATTGATATATTTCATAAACATGACATGAATAATGTGTTTCTCTAGCCAGAATGGTTAAAATTATGTTTAAAACTTCAGAAGACGTGGGTTCGGTTCTTAACTATAGTTACACTCACATTTTTTTACTAGTTTGGGCTTGGTTTCTTTATTTTTGGGTGGACAAGAAACTCATACAGTAAGATTTATATATTAAATGTTTTTTAAAAAAGATATATAGCCTATAATTTACATAGAAGAATCGTTGAAATTAATTTTATTATGTAAACTAGACTCTACTTTTTTAATATATATATATGAAAGAATTAATAAAATTTCTCTATCCAATTTTAGTATTATTTATGTATTTTAAATTTATATTATATTTATAATAAATTACGAGTCAGCGATAGTAAATAATGAATAAATTTAGATTTAATTCAAGATTTTTCTCACTAAATATCTAAAAATAACACCGTAATGAGAGCGACATTACTTGAGTTTTCTTCATTAAAAATGGCGATTCACAAACTTTCTCCTTTAAATTCCTTATTTAAAAATTAATTTAATGATGATTAAGATTTAATTAATAATTAATGATGTTTCTAGAAAGTTATTTTATTC